ATTGCTCCTTTAAGTTGAGCACTATGAAAAATTATTCTTTAATATTAAGTTTGTGTAACAACAAATATATATATTTACCTCCTGATGTTCTGTGGCTCTGACTTCTTTGTTGCCATGATGACTGCTCTTGTCTAGTTGCTTCACCATTCATTTTCTCGCTAGCCATGACATCAYGCCAGCTTCTGCCAGGCTGACTACTTGCAGACTGATATGCTTGTCCAGAGTCTGGTGGTGAGAATGTACTCTGCACTGAAGATGGTTGATTGTAGCTTGGTTGTATCTGGTCCTGCCGTTTCTCTGGTTGGTTATAATTTGAAGGTTGTTGTGCTGGGGGCTGTCCTTCCTGGTTATATTTGTCTTGATATGCTGGTAAACCTTGTGGCTGTTGGTATGGTGGATTTCCCTGGCTATACTGTTGATGTTGAAAATCTTGAGGTGGTGCTTGTTCCTGGAAACTTCCTGATCCAGACAACTGATGTCCTTGACTGAATGGCTGTTGGTATCTTTGCTGTTCCTGGTAGCTCCCTGGCACAGGTTGTTGCTGGTATGTTTGTGGATCCTGGTAACCTCCAGTAGCCCCTGGTTGTTGGTAGCCTTGATTACTTGGATCTGATGGTGGTTGAAATTTCTGTGGTTCCTGATAACTCCTTCGTGCAGGCTCTTCCTGGTAATTCCCTTGACCAGGCTGTTGGTAGCCTTGCTGTTCCTGGTAATTTCCTGGACCAGATGGCTGTTGATATCCTTGATAACCTTGATTGGCTGGTTGTTGGAATCTTTGTGGTTCCTGATAGCCTCCTGGCCNGCACGATCTTCCGTAAAACCTGCTCGAAAAAGATATCAAGTGGTCCGTCGGCCGAAAGGATTTTAGGGTCGACCGTCAATATATTTTTTGTCATATTTTTGTCTTCAAACAATTCTGGCTAAAAAAAATCAAAGAAGAGCCACCCTTGATAACAAAGCTTCACTGACTTGTCAAAAAGAGCGGTGTTATGGGATGAACAATCGATTTACGGCAAAAACTAAACTCTTTTCTGAACGAGAATCAGCGAGAATCGCGTGTACACCAACATCGTGCGCAGGGCCTATTGAAGTTCATTTATAGGACCAAAAAAACTCAATGAAAATACCAAAACCATTTTGAAGTATTCTCTTGTAAACACAACTGTCTACAATGGTAATATGTGCATAAAAATTTGCTATACTATTAATGAAGTCAATTTATGCACAAGTTATCACTGCTGACTATAAGGGAAACCAATTTGGAGTAATACGTTGTGTAAAAAGATAAATTTGGAGTGACTTTACTAGTAAATGCGACACAATAATATAAATAATAGATGCATTAATTTACTTTAGATCAAATTAATTGTACAGCAAAAATATTCTTAACAAATATGCCAGCAATCTACTGCTGAAGCATCACTGACAGCCACGTGGTGTAGTTTGCTTGTGGCCATGTTGTGTGGGAATCAYTTGCCGACGATTTTATACATAAACAAACGGCAGAGCAGATTATTGTCTTATCTATTTGAAATAAACAATAACATATCATTGTGTGTGGCTCTCATCACTCTTAAATACATCTATAACAAACCAATTACAAGGATTTAAAATACTAGAAATAAGCAAGATCATCATACCTATCATTTGACGGTGGAGAGSTCTGAGCTGAAGGCGCCCACGGCATGCTGTTCGATGAAATAAACACAAACTACGAACTTAAGGAACTTCTCTAGCGATTAAAAGTAGAACGTAGATCCACTTTAACGATTACAAGCTCCAAAAATCGAAGTATTTCACAGTGTCCTACTTGATACCTTCATCAAACATGCACGTGTGAGGAGATACTTTAATGGGAATAGCCGCTGAACTATACAAACAATTTTGACGTCTAAGATTACAACCCTCGATTTCAAGTTATCCTGACCAATGCATAATGCTTTTCAGATTACTTTCAAAAGAATATCTTTATTTTGGAAAGAGTGTATAAATTTATACCAGCATAAGGGACTCAGGGGGATGCATACCACTATATATGGCTATGATCTACAGGAACTTTTAAAAGAACCATGGYTAAAGGTTTTTTGACATAATCAGTTTTCAAAATGAGGCTGTTGCCATGGCAACCATTTTGTAGGGCATCCTAAGTCACAACCAGTGCATTTAATCACAATATGAATGACTTGACTACAAATGGTTCAGGTTTTTATKAAGTGTTTTTCTCAACTTTTGCAATTCTGTGCAACACTCAAACAACAATACTCATCAAAAATCTTAGGTTGCCCCTAAGTTTCTKCAAAATCTGAGTGTGCACAGTGCGTTCCAGTGTCTATATAGTCTATAGTCATGAATAYGACAATATGAAAACAAGACARTGAGACAGTTTTTGCAAAAGCAATTTTATTTCTTATACTTGGACACAAATCGGTGAATATAATTGGTTGTTTGGAAATAGCTTTATACCACAACACTCATGGCTTTGATATTGAGGGTGACTTGGACTGGTACAAGAGTGTATGCATTCACAGAGTGGGCAGCCTAGATTATACTTCTCAAAGATTATACACCACCATTGAATCATTTTAAAGAAACATGGGATTATCAAGAAAAGATTATCAAAAAAGTATATATTAATTTGTAATAATACACATCCTGAATACTAGATAGTCATGATTTGGTTAATAATTTATTAGKATTATTGTTCAAGACTCTGCCATGACAGCAAGAGGGACACCTCGGTTTGGTACATAGGGAGTTGGTCTTGTAACCATGGTGATACAGTCTGAAAACAAAATAAACAAAAGTTACCCCCAAAAATAAATAAAACATAATTTCACAATAACTTATTGTCACCATAACCATCATGTAAAATGTGTTTTCTACAGTGAATAAAGAGTGAGACACCCACCTATAATAGGACACACACTAACACATAATGTACACCCAGTGCAGTCATCAGTAATGCGTGGAATGTGTGTGATAGGGTCAAACTTGATGGCCTGGTAACCAGAGTCATTACAAGTCATGAAACATTTTCCACAGTTAATACACATCTCTTCGTCAATCTTGGCTATCACTTGTTGTTTGTTATCAAGATCGTTGTATGTACCAATCTTGTCCAGGGCAAGACCAACTACATCCTGGTAAAACACACAAAAAACTGTACATTTTACCACTGGTTACAATGATTGTCTATTCTAGCCATCACTGAACCCAACTAGCCCAACTAGTACCTAAAACAACCTTCACACAATATTGACATTTCATAAATCCATAACGTTTCTAATATGCATTTTTACATGTAATAAAGTAGTACCTTAACTGATGGGGTAGGTTTTGCTTGTTTGACAAGAGATCTGACTTTGGGTGGCTTTGCTTCTTCWGTGATAACGTCATTTTCTCGTTTGTACTTTGCAATTGCTTCTCTTCTTTGTTGTAAATATGGACCAAAGTTAGGAAGGCCCTAAGAAATGCAGAAGTGATCACAATTAAAAAACAACAAACAAAGCGTAAGTAAGCATATTATGCACACAAGGCTTGAAGAGAGAAAGCGGGAGAGCAATATAGTATTTAATCTGGTTTTTAAATAAACAGGCTGTACTAGCATGCAATTAATTGCTCATACACTGACACAAGACTTAACATTGCTTTACCTTCCCAACCACATCATTAATCTTTGGTACAGGTTTGCCAAGCTGATGCCTTATTGTAGGCTTTGATTGACCATTCCAGTTATTAAATTCATCTGACGATTTCATGTACATCAAACATTTCAGTCCAACAATGTAGTCATCCACAACAGTAAAGTCTTGGTTCTGGACTGCACTGCAAACCTACAGAAAGTAATTGCATATGCCTTTTTGGATACTGTCAATAATGCCAGCAATGTATTGTTATGTCCAGTGCTAGTGCACTAGTTTACCTGAACAGCTAAAGCCCCACAATGTAGGAACTGCAGAGCAGCATCAGCACTATCAACTCCACCAGTAGCCAGGATAGGATAACCAGGAAGAGCACGGGAGATGGCTGACACAGCACGGAGTGCTATTGGTCGAATTGAATTTCCTGACATCCCRCCATAGGTGGTCTTTTTCTCTTGCCCAACACTTGGCCAGGCTGCAGCAGAGTTTTGAAGGCCCATCAAAGCAGACACTGTGTTTGTAGCTGTCACTCCATCAGCTTTACCTAAGGTTGAATTAAAAAATGAATGAATAATGTAAAACTTGGAGAAGCAATCAATCCTACCAAAAACAGGATTGATAATTGAAAAGCTTACCTTCATATGCAGCTCTTGCAATGTTGACAATGTCAGTGACATTAGGAGTTAACTTAGCAAAGAAAGGAATCTTAATGGCTGCTCTTACCCAACGACAAATATTCCTTACAAGCTCTGGGTCCTGGTAACAAGGCATTTAAATCAGTAACTACTAGTATACATTTTATATGTGGGGGATGGGTGGTGCTGTATCATACCTGTCCACAGGCTAGACCCATGCCTCTCTCTCCCATGCCATGAGGACATGACAAATTCAACTCCAAAGCATCTGCTCCAGCTTCCTGAATGAGAAATGCATTGAATTTCAATAGGCAATCAATAACTGATTAATCGGATTTAGTGTATATCAAAATGACCTGGGCATCAATATTACTATCATCAAGACATTCATCAGTCTTACCTCRGCCATCTTTGCTAGTTTTGTCCAGTCCTCTTTTGAGTAACCACACATAATGCTGGCAATCAGTATCTTTAATTGAGACAACAATAGCAATGTTGAGTACCAGTAAGCACACTGAAACACATGTCTGTCTGTCTACAAATTATCTGTGTCTTTAGCTTCAAGTTCATGTTGGTTTAGCCCGTATCCATCATCATTTAATCAACCCTTCTAATTTGCTCTTCTTTCCTACCATCATTTTTGTTAACCGATCTAGTTTTCTATCCATTTACCATGTGGCTGTCTACTTTTTGTTTCACCTGATCTTTGAAGTCCTTCTTTAGTTCAGTAATTGACTGGCACCAGTAGGCAGCTGTTTTCTCACTGATCAATTCAATGTTCAAGAAAGAGCCCTGACCTGGTCCATACATGTGTCCAGAAGTTGTCCCACGCACTATACGAGGGGAGACATTGGTGACAATATCCTATAAAATAACAAATTGGTACTTAAATAAAATACAGTTTGGAACCTCTCTGTCATTTTGTTCACTGCAATCATTCTGTACTTAGTTACCTTATCCAAAGCAAAGGTTTTAGTCAAAGCAAATCCCCAACCAGCCTCAAATCCTCTTCTMATCATTGCTGATGTTGTAGTTGGTGGTGCACTTGCTAAGCCAAAAGGATTGGGGAATTTAAGTCCACAGATCTCAACACTGAGATCGACTTCATCTACAGGTGTGAAAAACCTAGGCAGTGCTGGTTTATCAGGAAGAGCAACATTATGAAGGGACTGGAACAAAATGAATCAGTTAACATAAACAATGATAAATTTGGCAAATTCTAAAGAGCTTCCTTTGAGACAATGATGCAGACCAGCTCTTTTTACATATACACAAACCCACCAAAATRCTTTTCATTACCTGCAGATATTTGTGAATAGAAGCTGCTGCATGTTTACCATCATTGACAGATTCAACAGTAGTGTTAGCAACTCCAGCCAAGTCACCACCACAGTATACTCCCTCTTCACTGGTTGCTAAGGTTTCCATGTTGACTTCAGGTAGTCCCCATTTATTCATTTTGACTGGCGACAGTGCTTTGGCAACTGTAATATATATGGATAAGCAGAATGTAAGACATATCATGCACATTGTTTGCTCATAAACTATGAAAAAGAGACATTTAGAATCTATCATCTASTATCATATCAAGACTTGATGAGCTTGATCTTTACACTAACTATCTTTACACTAACTAGTCATTAACTAGCTTACCATTTTCATCACTCAATGTAGATCCAAAGGCTGAGATGACATAGTTTGCCTTTATTTTCAGAGTCTGGTCTTCATCCTCAACCCATGTGCCATCTTCAAGCTGAAAACATTCATATTATATGAAAGTGATCATTGTGTGTGAAAGGTWTATGTATGATGACTTGATCCCATTTGATAAAAAACAGATTGCCTGATGAGGATCTATCTCGTTTTCTTTACCTGTTCCGTTTTGTAAAACTCCATTGCACAGATTTTGCCATCTTTAAGATGAATCTGATAAAAAACATTGAAACTATTACTCATTGTATTATCAAATCATTATTATCATTACTAATAAATATCATAGTCTACCTAGTGTGATAGTGTACCTAGTGTGGTACAGTATCATTGTCTACCTAGTTTGATAGCGTACCGAGTGCGGTACAGTATCAAAGTCTAACTAGTGTGATAGTGTATCTAGTGCGGTACAGTATCATAGTCTACCTAGTGTGATAGTGTACC